AGGAAGGAAGGAAGGAAGGAAGGAAGGAAGGAAGGAAGGAAGGAAGGAAGGATGGATTTCCGAAGCTCCCTGCCAGCTTCCCACAAGCGAAGTCCATGGGGAAGCCGGCAGCAAGTTGTAAATTGCTCATACTCCTGCTGCTTTTTTGCCCTTGGTCATTCTGTTTCTCTGTTAGGTAAGGAAATACCTCTGATATGATGATCCAATGGGTCACAGGTTATCTAGTTTAATATATATTTATTTAATTGTAAAATATGTAATATTTAATTAAATATTTATTCTATATGTATTTATATATTTATTTAGTCAGGTGCAAATAGATGTAATAAAATAAAACACAAGCCAAGCAAATGCAAGAATTCCACAGCAATACACAGATAAGAAATTACTACTAATACAATGTGTTCTAATATAAATATGTTCTAAAAGAATTGCATCTCCTCAAGTTACAGGTTCATATTTCCTGAAAACATGGATAAAGAAGTACTGCAATTGCTTCACCAGCACACTTAATATCTTTGTTCCAAAACTGGTAGAATTCGATCCACAGACATAAGGAATTGACAATCTGTTATTTAATTCGCATATTTACAACCACTTTTTTGGGGTTTTTGCAGGATGGAATGCCTCTGCAAAACTGAACTGGAGGTTTAATTTTAATTTAATCCATTTAATTTAATCAATTTATTGCAGTCATAGACCAATACAAGCAGAGTGCTCCATAAATAATAGATAATAAGTAAAATAATTAAAATTTAATACAAAGTTACAATACATTTATAAAACAACCTAACTAGCATCTATGAGTGAGGTGTAGTCTATATTTAAATTATAAAATAGACACTAAATTATATAAAGTATAACAACACCTAAAATTACAAAAAATATATAGTATCTAAAATTAAAATGAATTTCAGTTACATAGAATGCATTTAGCTAGCAGAAAATTGGTCCATCAGGGTCCAGCTGCTGCACAAAACCTAGCCACTTGCTAGGGGACTTTGGTTGGTTCCCCAGCTTCTTGTTTCACCTCCTTGGAGAGTACAATCTAAATTCATCAGAGCAGCCCTCCAGATGCCACATTGTGTCTCCAATGCACATTTACATCTGGAGACAGATATGATAAAAGTTGAGTCAAGAGTGTGTTTAGCTTCTATAAACCTTTGGTTAAAGCTTAATTTTTATCCTCAAGGCCTAGCACCATTAATTCTCCAGGACAAAACTATAACAGAAGGAAGTTCATCTATAGGTAGCATCTGGGCATAGCTGAGTTTGGGCAACCAGGATATCTGGTAGGAGGTACCACTGTATTTGAAAATCTGGTAAATTAAAAGCATCATCATCAAAAGATCAATTTAGCCAATGAATCTTTGGTGGCAGAATATCCTATATTTTTAAATGCACTCTGAAGTCTCACAAACAAGATATAAGAGAATGCAATACACAGAGTACAAGGATGATGAATGACACCAAAGTCAAAAATTACAAAAAAGCCAATCAAACCAATGGCTTGATTTGCTTAGGCATACTATGCACTTGTCCATACTCTTTATTCTGTTGGTTCTGGCTTTCAGAGGATCTTTGAAGTTGACATATACACTACATCCTGAATGTTAACATCAAAAGAAACCAAGAGTGCATACACTTGTAAGCTTTAGCAGGCCACTTCATATGAGAGCCTCTTTAAATCCACTATGAAGTCTCCACAAACAAAAAGGCACAAGAAAATGCAACATACAGAGTATACAGGTAGTCCTCACTTAACAACCCTAATTGGGACTGGAATTTACATCACTAAGCGATGCAGACATTAGATGAAACATCATGTGACTGCACTGCTTAGCAACAGCAGTTTCAGCAGTCTCAGTTGCAGTCATTAGGCCAGGACCGTGCCATCGTTAGGCCAGGACTTCACGCTTCTCCTGCTCGGCTGCATTCACCTCCATTTCAACTCCCTCCACCCACCCATCTCCCCCCTTCTGGCCACCCTGCACTCTGCCGCCTAAGTTGAAGCGCACCCTGTGGTTGTAAATGTGCCCGAATTGTAATGTGACCGCAGGGGTGTTACAATGGCCACAACTTCGAGGAGCAGCCACAACTACCATTCATTTAGCACTGTCATAACTTTGAACATCACTGAACAAATGGTCATTAAGCGAGGACTACCTGTAAGCAAACTAAAACAAAATCCAAGACACAACTAACCAGAGTTGCTTTTCAAATACACTCAGAATCAAAGGAAGAATTCCCACCATAATCATCATCTTACAGAAATAAACAGTATCTGGCTTAAAATCTGTTGCAATTTGCTATGCTAGTCAGGGTTGATGGTTACTGAAATTCAGCTCAACTGGAAGGCACTAAGTCGCCTATCCTTGAATCATCATAGGCCCTTGAATAACCAAAAATACAGACAAAGACAAGTACATCATTTAATCTAATTTGCATAAATAATGTGTCCTGTTATTACCATGCAAACAACAATGGTATTATAAAAACAGTATTTATTCCAAGGTAGTTTAATCCTGAAAGAAAAATATATACATGTACCTATGCACACACATCAAAATACATAAAGGCAAAATAATGTGATACAGCAGTTACTAACAGCGTTACCAATACTAAATTAATCTCAAGTAATGATGTGAAGTAACTGACAGATACCTTTAGTACTAGTGTCAAACATATCATTTGAAAGTATCTTCACTTATCCAATAGTTCCTGCTAATATTTAAGAGAAAAATCTAACTGACAAGGCTGCAATAAGGCATACTTGGTTAAGTGTGTGATACTCCCTGTCATAACACTAAAGCCAGATTGTACTTTTCTCTGTAACTGAGGACCCTCAAATGTTTTTTTTTCCTTGCAGATTTTTGATTCTAAATGTAGAAGCAGTGTCCACATAAGTCTTAAACTCATCCTTTCATAGAAGCAAATTGGTGTGATTCTGCAGTTTGAAATCTACTTAAGGTTTAAAGAGATTCTCAGTGGCATGTGTCATGAAACCACACAAATGTTTCCCATTCTCTAGGATTAATTCTGCCACAATGAAAATCCTACCAATTTTTTAGTTGATTTATTTTAGTAGATATTTAAAAATACTATTAAGAGGAAATAAGGAAAAAAATAGAAAAACAAAGAATAAAAAAGAGGTTTACGGGCTGTATAAAATTAAATTAAAATTTCAAGGTAACTTTAGATGAGTGCTATATATTGAAAGTTTCTTGTATTAATTTGAGATTTCAAGACAATTATTAACAATAAATCAATATTCAATCATTAACTAAAAGGGTCCAGTTTAATATGAATCATAAGTCAAAATAAATAATTAACAAAACTTTAGATCAAGGGAAGGTTGGAGACTGGACAGAAGTTATCCAAAACCATCAGGTCCACCTATGGCCTTTTAAGGAGGGGACATACCACCACCTCTTTTAAGTCAGATTGGACCACCCCTTCCCACAAAGTGGCATTAACCACTGCTTGGACTACAAATACATGCCACCTCCCAGCAGGCCTTGACCAGCCAGGAGAGGCATGGGTCCAGATTACAAATGGCAGTAACAAAGACCCTGTCTACTTCCTCAGGATTGATCAGTTAAATTCCTTCCAGATAATTGAGCTAGGATGTGCTTTAGTCACATCCACAGGATCCACCAGCCAGGGTCTTAATACCTTATCATCAATTCTTACTGGGATCATTTGAAATAGAACAATGAGGTTTTTTTGAGCTCATTTTTACTGCTATTCCTTCTAATCCCCCTAAATCCTACTACACTGCCTCATTGCGTTCCCCAGGGGGATGAGTAAAGAATACTACACCAAGAATATATACTCCCAACAGGGTCACTCAAGATGTGAAGATCATCCCAGATACTTAGTAAAGCACAGACAATCAGGCAGCATCTACATATGAAGTTGGTGGAGGTGGATGATCACCTTAGCGACAACAGCAAAAGCAATTTGATATTTCATACTGCATGTGAGGAGGCAATGGTAAACTATTCTTGAATTTTACTAAGAAAACCACATGGTGTTAGTAATATGGGACACTTCAATTATCTATATTTCTATTGGAAAATCAACTGAGCCAAACTGAAAGGTTCCAAAAATTCCTCAGTGGCCTTTCTGATCATTCCATTTTTCTGAATGCTAAAGAGGCAAGGGTATTTCCTAGATCTGATCCTACCCTACAAGGAACAGGTAACTGAAGGTAAAACCAATGACAAATGTTGGGAAGAAGTGGAAAATTGGAGCACTGTCATTCATGCACACTAGATTCCAGGACAGCCAAATTTCAACCAACTTAGAGAAGTGCTAAGTAGGAACCCACTGTCCTGGGTCAGTCTCTTCCTCAGGACTCCAGTGAGGAGTCAGCAGATGAGCTGTCCCTGTGGGACTCTCAGGAGGCT